GTGAACCTTCAAAGCCCATGCTAAGGGCTAAGAGAAAGAGGAAGCTAGCTGAGATGTCCACTGCCATGTCTCCGAGCTTTAAAGTCCATCAGGAACCCAAACAATCCGGAGGAAGCGTTGCTGGAGAGTGGAAAGGAAGTCAGGAAGACTGAGCAGAAACAGAGGTGTGCTAGTCACTGATTAGCCACTGATGGGGTCAAAAGGATAAGCTAATAGCCATGCTAATCTACTTCAATGGAGAAGTTGCATGGGAAGAGTTTACCAGGTCCTCATAATGTTTGCATTGGGCATTTTTGCTGTGTGTACATAAAGACATAAAGCCTGATCAGCCGAGTGTAAATACACAGAGGATGAAAGCAACTGATATATATATTTTTGCTGGCGTGGTGATTTGGTGCCCACACACTCCTTCCCATGCACATGCTATAAATGGCCCCCTGCCACGGTGGTCCGCTCAGTCAAGTTACATATGGTGGACAGGACTGCAACCATGCAACAGGCATAAACAAGGCCCTGTAATGGTCACCGTGTTCCTGCAAAAATGCAGGTGGGAGCTCCAGGCTCTGCTGAAGCCCTTGATGAGGGATGAAAAATTTGGTTTGTTGAGGACTAACGAAGGATGGAAGGTAGTTGGGGGGGGGGGCTACACATCTGCTTACAATTTACTCGATTGTGACAAAAACAAATGCCACTGATGGCAACACTTTATCAACTTCACTCCAAATCACGCCTGCGAGCAGTGCTGCTTCTGAGCAGTTTTGCATATTTTTACCCCATATTTTTCCTCTATGTGATACAGAGGCCCCCCAAAAAGCCATTCTTTAAAAAATGTATTGCAATTATTCATAACCAGCTGGTCTCAAGGTCATCTGGTCCCCACGTTACACTAGTGATTCACAATCAATCTACTGTTATTTCATTTCAAACGTAATGTTGTCCTTGAAACAAATGTGCTTGTGCTATTTGTCATTAAAACTGGTTTGATATTTTGTTATCTAGTGCAATGGCATTCATGCATTTTTAGTGTCTCGAATGCTTTTTTGGGGCCAGTGTTTGTACTCATTGTACACAAGTAGCTGAACAACAAAACTGTAGACAAAAGCAAACAATGGAAATTATTCCAAATATGACTTATTTGTTGCATGCAACATAAATGGGCAACATATGCTGTAGGCTCACTGGAAAACGTGCCTCTACTGTACCTACATTTTTGCAAAACTTAAAAAACATATCAATACTGTACACACAATGCACGTCTGCAGCTGAAATAACCACCTGTGGCAGTAAAACACCAGCAACTCCTTTTCAGATTATTGCTTAATAAAGACTTATTTTCACCTTACACAATACTATGTTATGAGCTCAAAACACTTTTACCATAATGCATGATTTGTAAACAATACATAATACCGTACATTTTTTGTTTGCATCACATACTATTTACTATTTTGAAACAGTAAACTTGCTCAGTATCGCACCCGGTACAGCATTGTACTTGCGTTACGGAGCACTCAGATACGAGTCCCATGAAATACGAGTCACGATAATAAAAGCTCAAAAGTCTTGTAGAAGCCAAATGAGATGCCATGGTTGCTTGAGCAAAAGTTACTTTATCTCATGTTTGCTTTTGTTAACAATATCGGTTAGGTTTATCGTAGGGTTATCGTAGGTGCTGTGTTATTTTCAAACGTGACATAGCATTAATCTTTTAGTGCCACTCACTGGACATTTGACTTTGAAAGGGCCGCAAAACATGCAAGATGCCACATAATATAATCTTTCAGAAAATTCTGCCACAGGCACAGTTTATTCCAATGGGCTTGTAAATGGGGCTCCTAAAAAGACAAATAAGGATGCCATATGTGAATATTCAATATCATGTATTGCTCTTATCTGTATGATCAAAAATGACAGAGTAATTTAAGTTAGACAAAACGCCTCGGCGTGTTTGCCGACCCCAGTGGGTTAAGATACATTAAGACGTTCTCACACGGCTTGTAATCAAATAAAAAGTGCCAAGTTCGAACAGTTGGAGGTGCAAAGATTTTAGTGCAAAGATGATATTTATCAAAAAAAAGTCAATATATTCCTCATCAACAGCTGTTTAGCTTCAAACTTGAAAATATACCACTAAACCCTCATGTTTTCCCAAACAATGCAAGTTTGCAATTGGACTAAAACGTTGCTCACACAGGGAACAGCAGCTTCCCCAGAAGTGTTTGATTATTTCTGTACTTTTTTGGGATATTTTTTTTTTCTTTGTTTCTCTTATAGTGCTAACAGTCAAAAATGTTGTATTGATCGTAGGCCTCACTGATCAGAGCTTATGCACCTCAGCTTTTGAGAGAACACTGTCAATATTATTCCACAAAAAATGCTCTTTTTTCACTCAAAAACTGAGTTGCATAAGATCAGATCAATAAGGCCCATGATCAATCAGTTTCAAAAAAACCGGGAACACTAAATCAGGTAAAGGATTATCAGCACAGCACAAGGGTTACATCATACCAGCTACTTTTATGGAGATTTCTGCGCTTTTCCTGAGCTTTTTAGAGGACCAGTGATCATAATGAGTTTCCCCCCCCAAAAAAGTGCAGCATGAACAAATCTACTTTGTGCTCCGCAGACAAAAAGTTTTCTTGATGATGAAGCAATGATTTAAATATTTGGGTGAACTATTCCTTTAATATCATGCCCGTCAGACTAAAACTAACAGCAGAAAATGATTCTGGAAGAATTAAGTCTTCCAGCACATACGCCAGAGCTAAAGCCAGCGCTTCTGAGTCATAGATGAATTTCATAAACATCCTTGAGGGTCAGGTGTGCTAAAAAGTGGGCTGTGCCCTCCCTGCCAGAAACAGATAGGCTAATGGTGACCCGTTATGAAAATTAATCTAGCCAACCTTTGCGCTGACTTCTGCTTCTGGATCACTAAAAGCCCCTGTCAAAACGTCAAGTCGAATTAATGATGGGTCGTGTCAGGGGAGGGCTGGCTTTGGCTGGGTCCTCTTCTTCCCGGAGCCCCGCGGCTTGTTTTAGCGCTGCTGGATACATCACCTCCAATAGCCATCAGCGGCACCTATCACCTGATCTATAATTTCATAAGTGCATAGAAATGGCCTTGTCCCTGCGCCTTGTATAATCAATCAAAGCCTCTGCTCATGCACGTATGTGCACTCACACACACACACACACACACACACACACACACACATGATTGTGCAACCTGTAGCACAGCGTGTAATAACACCCCTAAAAATAAGGCTGTAATTGATTTTCATAGCTGTCAGTCTCCCTGGTGAGAGACTTTGAATATCGCATCACCACGGGCAGATTATTATTATAACAGACCGATTTCCCTCAAGGGTTCCCTGCTATCAACTCAAGGAAAACAGCAGAGGTGAGAAAAGGAAAAAAGAAAGATAACCGGGAAAAAAAAACAGCAGGGCATAGTAACTAAACAATACCGAAAAGGGCAACGTGGGAAATATGAAAACCTTTTACAAAAACAAATACAGACAAAACATGAGCAGGGGCTAGCGAACGCCGTGCAGCTGACCAACACTTATCTCCCGACGTTCCTGCTGGTTTTCCTGCCTCTGAGGGCCTGAGGTGGTAGACGTATAAGAGCGTGGCCCTGGAAAGCATGCTGTGTTTGGGGCAGAGCTGGCAATGTGTTGGGCCCGCAGCCAAAGCCTGGTTCCCAGCCCATAGTGGAGAGTGTCAGAGACAAGACAGGCGCTTAGAAATGGGGTTCAGATGCTGCTTTGAGTGGACGCAGGCTTATTGTCATAGCAGGGCCTGAGCGACGCCTCCGCTAAAGAGGGGACTGTGCCTATTGTTACATTTCAATTATGCAGCATCATCATCAGAGGCTTGACAACAAAGTGCATTTGTTTTATGGCTGTTTAAAGCGAAGGCAGGTCCAAACATTTTTAAGGGCATTTCTTTTCTTTTTTTACATATACAGTACTGGCCGAAAGTGATGTCCAGCCTAAGAAAATTCATCTTTGCCCTTCACTCAAATATTTTATTAAGGGTTTTATAAGCATATTTCATAGTTGTGCTTGGAGTGTAAAACTAATGTACGTGCTCAATTGTTTCTTTTGTAATAATGCAATGAAACATAACAAATTGTGATAGATTGATAAATAAATAAATAAAAATGCACACCACACGCAAAATTTATACTGCCCTGGAGAATGACTGCCGTAATCAAAAACAAGGAGAACCAATGAAATATTAAGTATATGTTTGTATTCGATGTATGTTTTATTTCCTGTGAGCTTTTTGCTGCACATATGAATATACACTACTGGTCAGAAGTTATGTATTTATTTGTTTGTTTAAAAAATGCTCATCAAAGCTTGGTTTACTTGATCAAAAACACAGTAAATATAATAATATTGTGAAATTTTATTAGAATTCAAAAGAGCTGTTTTCTATGTGAATATATTGTAAACTGTAATTTATTCCAGCGATGTAAAACTGAATTTTCAGCATCATTACTCCAATATCAATGTTGAAAACAGTTGTGCTGCCCATTATTTATATTATATTACATACAAACCCATATTTCTATTTAAAATTACTGCTCTGCTTTTACCCATCTTTGTGAGAGGGAAAAAGAACATCTTCCTAGAAACAACATCACTAATAATTTGTTAAGAGACCGGAAGCTGAAATTACAGTTAATTAAAAAAAAAAAACACCATCACTTTCATTCAAGAGCCTCCATTTAGTCCTCGGCCCAAAAGAACGTCCATTATCAGGTTGGTTCCTTCCGTTCAGCAGCACAAAAGAAACAAACAATCCATACGTGATCAATTTAACGTACTGTTATAAAAGCTCTCAACCGTTTACACCAATGACATCTAAGAGCTTTCCCAGAACTTTTACCTCCCCGGACCCCATTTACTTAATTAGACAGTTTGCTAATTTCCCGGGCAGCGGTGGTTAATTGAGAGGCTTTTTACGGGGATCGGGACACAGCCGCTCACCTCTCCTGCTCCAGCCTCATTCTCTGCGTCTCCTCCTCGGTGGCCTGACTTTCCTCCATCTTGCTCTTGCTGGACCCTTTCCGCTCCATCTTGTCCCCTTGCCTCTCATCTTTGCGGTTTTTGCCGAACCTGCGGCGGCAGAGACAGAGTGTGGGATAAATTCAGATGGACTTCTAGATTGTTTGTGTTTAAGAGGAGCAAACCGTTCTATCCTTCTTTCTCTTTTCAATAAGAGCACTGGAACACCTAAAGGAAATGAAACTGTCAGAATACTTGACACATCAAAGAGAGGAACGGCCAAGAATGACAACATATCCCTTCACATTTCCACAAAAAAGACTGCAATATAAAATCACTTAATATTTAATAATACAAAAAGTAGCAGGTATCTTAAATAACACTACTTTATGCATGTTTCTAAATGCACTGAAATAAAGTTGCGCTTGGAACATCTGTCAATAATAAAGCTATTATTATAAAACTGGAACCTGAGCAACAGTACAGCTTGATGGAATCAATTCCAACTTATTTCACCAGTAAACAAAACAAAATGTCTTAACTAGCATTTGATTCAACAAATTTCAACAGGAGACTGACAACATCAACTCTTACTCTGGTTGGCAGTAACTTTGTAAAGGAATTAACAGGAAGTGAGTACACAGAGCTTAAGAGATAAAGTTTTGTACATAGGCTTAAATCTGTCTGTCTGTCTGTGTGTGTGTGTGTGTGTGTGTGTGTGTGTGTGTGTGCATGTTTATGTGGTTTATGAGGACACAAATTTGTATAATAACATGGGTATGACATAGGTATTACAACAAGAAGGTGATTTATGAGGACATTTTCAGTGTCCCCGTAATTCAAAAGGCTTATAAATAATTCAGAATGAGTTTTTTTGAAAATCTAAAAATGCAGAAAGTTTCCTGTGAGGGGTAGGTTTAGGGGAAGGGTTGGTGTAGGGCAATAGAAAATACAGTTTGTACGGTATAAAAACCATTACGCCTATGGAGAGTCCCCATAAACCATAAAAACAAACCTGTGTGTGTGCGCGTGTGTGTGTGTTATCAGTCCCCAAAGACATTCCCCAACCAACTTCCTCAAACATTGTCCCTTCCTGATTGAAATCTTAAATCGTTACACTGAATGTGGCACAGACTGGCTTCTCATCAGTCAGTGGAACAACACTGTGTCATTATCAACAGCTGCCTTCTGTTATCCGAAGTCTCCAAGGCATGTCTCAAAATACTGTGCTTCTTAGTAATGTCATTTCCTGCAGACATGTGCACACTAGCTTTGGCTCGAGGGAAGACGTGGCGAAGTACCGATTGTGGTCAATATTCCAGTCAAAGCAAGACTTGTAACATGCGTTTCCAATAATTCTTGGGGAGTTTTACGCGTGTACAGGATTACTGGGGGTAATAATCAAATTTTGTACAAATAAAGCAATAACAGAGAGTGTGCGAATCCGTGGGGCGACAATATGAATTAGTGCCTCCAATAAAAGTACATTTCCATTTGATGGAAGTAATAATTTTCATTGACTAAGTTGCTTTCTCGCGACGCCTCCATTCAAGTACGAAGGTGCATTGATTATGAAAACCATTTGATTACCAAACAAAAACTCTCTTCAATAGTCAGCGAATGGATGTGTGATGTCACATGCCCGCAATTTCCCAAAAAAACACCGTAACCCTGTGCTTATTTTCTTAACTCTCTTGCCAAGGTTCACCGGAGAGCACGAGAACACAAACTTTCCCTCTAAACTCAACAGAATTACCTCAGACGGGCCATCAGACTGAACATATTCATGAAATGGGAAACGGTTTTCCCCAAATATGTTTATTGTTCTACTTTCCACGGGCTGCTCCGTGGCTCAAACGACCCCTTGGTCCAGCACAGGATTGTGGGAGAAGTACTCCTTTGGTTACATAAGCATCGAAAGGCCAAACTTTCCACGTTTGTCCCTCGGATACTGTACATTACCTGATTAATTAATCAACAAATGGCCCGGGTCTCGGTGTAAAAGTCCGCCGCACGCATGCTAATAACAGCGAGGCTCGATCTATCACTGCTCTCGCTGACAACCCGCCGTACATCTCAAGGACTTTTTCATTAACTCACCTTATATAATCTTCCTTTTCAGCATGTCTCTCCCCGCAGCCCGTCCCTCTCTTAAAATGACACGTGGAAAGATACGTCGAGAGGGAGGTGAGGATTCTGGAAATTAATCTATTTCAAGGCACGCAAACAAGTAAGGTCAAAAGCGACTCTTCTGCTCTTTCAAAGCATTGTGGGTTTCTTGTGGGCTGAATGCAAATTCTTTAACCCTTACAGTAAAACTCCTGTGGGAGTCAACGTCAATTTGCAGATGAAATGGGCCAAAAGTGTCTCTGGGGAACCAGCAAGGTAGTTTATGCATCTCTACGATGCCTGAGGCTTTAAGCGTAATTGTCATTAACAAATGGAGAGACTCTGTAATGAACAACACGACTGGGTTGTATTTGATGTGCAAACAGTACTTCTGTGACCTGTGGGAAGGGACCGAGTCTCCCAGTTCACTCGTTCATTTTGTTAAACATGGAAACTAATACACTCTGGCACGTTCCCTAGACCTCACATTGAGAGTTTGCTTTCACCATCAATCATCTTTAAAAGACCTCTTATAAGGACCCTAAGAAATGGCTTGACGAGTAGTTGCCAGGGGGAGAGATATTCTCAAATTTGGATACAATCATTTAACTCTTTCCCAGCCAAACATGGAATTTTCCGGGTTTCCGCATTCTCGTTGTTATACATTCGGGTGGCACTATTACGCTTCTCCTGAATGAGTCTAGAATGTGCCGATCAAAAACACATGCAAGGAAGACACAGAAACGAGCGATCTCGTATGTAAGCAGATGCATATGAAAAACAATACGATCATCAACAATAAACAGCATTTAAATGAAAACTGCCTAATGTTAAAGAAGTGAAATGTCGATCCAGGAAGTGGTAAAGGTGTTAATGGAAGCGATCTACTGCATCTTTCCTTTGATCATCCTACTGAATATGATCCAGATGCAGTATTTGATAAAAACGTGACAGAAAAACACAGAATTGTTGACATTTTTGCAGATTTATTAAAAAAGAAAAACTGAAATATCACATGGTCCTAAGTATTCAGACCCTTTGCTGTGACACTCATATATTTAACTCAGGTGCTGTCCATTTCTTCTGATCATCCTTGAGATGGTTCTACACCTTCATTTGAGTCCAGCTGTGTTTGATTATACTGATTGGACTTGATTAGGAAAGCCACACACCTGTCTATATAAGACCTTACAGCTCACAGTGCATGTCAGAGCAAATGAGAATCATGAGGTCAAAGGAACTGCCTGAAGAGCTCAGAGACAGAATTGTGGCAAAGCACAGATCTGGCCAAGGTTACAAAAACATTTCTGCTGCCCTTAAGGTTCCTAAGAGCACAGTGGCCTCCATAATCCTTAATTTTCAAAAACGCTGGCAGGGAAAGAGTTAAAATCCAACACTAGAATAAGTAATAACATGTTGTTTGAAGTAAGTGTTCGTGCTTGACAAGTTTAGTTAACTTTAGTTTAGTTAAGTTGGATATTTAAGCTATCTCAAAGATTTGAAGTTGTTATAACTAATTGCAGCAGCATTTTTTACAGTGCAAGACAGGATATAAATATTTTTGGTTGGCTTTCCCTGAAGAAAAATATTGTTTGTGTATTTCTTCTAACAGTGAATTATGTAAAAGTTTAGGAGTAAACAATGTTTTTATTGGGGTTTTAAGTAAATCTTTAAGTGAAAAAGAACCAGTTCTCTGCATTCACACTGACCTTAAAAAAAAAAATCTCTTTTTGCTTCATCCTGATAAGGTTTCAGTCCATTTTAGATTCACACTGTAGTTTTGTAGAACCCAGAGCACTTAGATATGATTAATTATCCTACTTTCTTCAATTTCACTTTTGCAGTATATATTCTCATTTATTTCAATCTCATTCATTCATCAGAGTTGTTATTGTTAACTAAAACGACTAAAAATAGATTGTGTTCATTGAAATAAAGCTGATATAAAATAATAATTATAATAAAAATAAAAATCTAGATGAACAATTAAAACTGGCAAAGAAATTAGAAATGTTGCATTGACAAATAACTGAAATAAAATAAGTTGAAGCACTAAAATGACTAAAACTAGAATAAAAATAAATTAAAGCTAAATAAAAAAAATGCAAAAAAACAAGAACTAATAAAAATTGGAATGCACATAAAATTATGAAAACTTAAAAAAGTTAAATAAAATATAAAAGCTAATTCAAAATATTAATAAATATTAGAATAGTATATAACAAATAGTAAAAAAATAACACTGCCTTCAAGTAAATCATATTCAAACCACCTCCCGAGTCACTCTTTGTTTGATTTGCTTTAGACTTGAGTTTGGTTGTTATGTTTATATATTCGTATATATTCTGAGACGACGAATCTGAAGAATCAGAATATGGACATTGGACAGGACCAGCCTTGACAGCTCTTCTGTGATCGGTGCGGCCAGAGCAGACGATCTCAACAATCCCTAATAGCTTCCGCAGTATTTTCTTGTCTATACTACACAGAAACAGAACAAGCTGAATGGCTGCGACATAATTAAGTGGTAAATGAATGAGAGACGGCACAATACACCGAGACAATGTTCTCTGTCCTTTTGTTCTGCAGCTGAATGAGCTTGAATCAGTGCTATTGGTTTTGGCTGGCAGAGCACAGTCAATGTCCCCCGTAATAACAGCTGAATCTGGACTCAGCGTTAGGTGAACAGTCTATTTGTGGAGAAGTTTTAAAGCTGTTTGCTCGGGCCCTCGAGGTCAGTTTACACTCACTCCCTCACTCACGCCATCGCACAGGATTCTGTGTTAGTGACAGATACACCACAAATCTAGCAGTTTTACAAACTTACATGATCTTAATGTCCACATAGCAACTGCCAATACCACATTCTCCAAAAATCATGGTATTACCATGGTAACATTAAAAAACCGTACAGTATTGTAGCATATACCACTAAACCCCTATTACGTTTTGGTTACTGTAATGTAATATCAAACATTTAAGCAATAAGGTATGAGAGGCCG